TCAAAGACAGGTTTTCATTACAAAAACATTCTTATCAACTCACCAACTTAAATGTTGATACACTTTCAAAACCACTTGTATTCTCAGGGAACTGGTAGATAGCTACACCCGTAGATTTTGAGAAGACGGAGCTTTTAGAGCCGTGTCTTTTATATTTTTGATATACATTTTTGTTGTCATACAAACTATGTATCGAACAGATGTAAATACCTTATTTATTCAATGTAATTGTTGTGTTTACTTTGATTAATATGATGCAGTTGTTGTGATACTGTACATGACGTCCTTCGCCCCCGAACGTTTCCGTTGTTCCGGTTTGGGGGTGTGACAGTTGCGTGTCATTAAAGGCATATATTCTAGTAGTGTTTACTAAAAGATTTGTATCATAAGATGTGTTTGAGAGCATGCATGTGTTGCTCTCTTAGATCATACATGTATAGATAGTTCCGTTGAATCACAAAAACATTGTTGGGTATATAAATGTAAATGTGAGATATTGAAGTGCACCAACCAAACTATGATAATGTGTGAGGTTTGTTATAGGAGGACCAAATGAATCCTGTGTGATCGTTTACATCGTAGGCATCGAAGTTAGTGACATATAATTTATACACCTCTCAACAAAACGGTAAATCTGAGAAGATGTTATGTACTATTAACAATAGTGTTCGAACCCTTCTCTTCCAAATTCCTCTTCAAACCAACTATTGGGTTGAAACCCTCCATATTGCCATCCGATTACTAAAAATTCTTCCATCCTTTACATTGAGAATGAAACCCCGTTTTATGTCTTCTATCAAACTCAACCTACTTATGATCACTTATGCATATTCGATTGTCTATTTTCCCCGAATGACAACTTCTCATGAACATACAACAATTACATGCACTAGCAAACTAGCCAATAAGCAAAAACAAAAAATGAATGATAGCCGTAGCCAAACAGTTACTACTTTGTTACTCTGATTCTAAGCCTTCACACTCTCAATCAAAATCGAATATACAATTTTAATGTCATTGTAGTTGACCATAATAAAAACTTTGACTAAAATCAAATCAAAATTCTTCTTAATGCCATTTTGGTCGACCATCGTTCGAGAATATACAATCATTTTACCTCGAAGAAAAACAAAAAGAAAAAAAAAACAGTTTTACTCCATCAACCTCAAGTAATGTTCAACATTCAAGTGTTTAGCTCTTTCTTTGTATTCAGCCATTTCCCTTTGATATCTCTCCTTATCCTCCAATCCTTGCTTCTGATAGACCTAAATATGCACATATATAATTGGTTTAATTCAAAACAATTAACTTGTAAGAAATGACAGCAATCAGTTTTTTCGTACGCTTTTATCTTCTGGCGAAAGGTTGTTCCAAGAGTCGCCAATCATCTTTGTGAACTCTCTTTCCCTGTCGGGATATTTTGACTTCAACTCGGCATGCTTTTCTGCAAAGAAGAAATTGTAACCGCTTCTATTAGTTTTGGGTCGGGTCGGATCTCGACTTTTTCTCCGATTTCTTCTTTTCCTTGAAGTAGTCAAGTCCATGTTTGGAATGACGACATTGTTGTGTTGTGGATGATAAAGTACTCCATGGAGGATCTCTGAATCCAACTTCATTCTCACTAAATAACCGTATTCAAACTTGTTATCAATTATCCCCGTCGCTTCCAGAGTTATAAAACCACCTGTATGTATGGGGATATGTACATATATATACGTAATTACGCATCATGGGGGGCTTAGAGGAAGGGCAAAGTGGGCAGCTGCACAGGGCCTAATTTTTTTTATTATATATTTTTATTTAAAAATACAAAATTATAATAAAGACAAAGGCCCTTTTTTTCTTGTTCGTCCTGAAACTTTAAGAATATTTCATTTTTCAGGACCGGCCCTGTTACGCATGATAGATAAATGTAAAGGTACATGTATGTATGTATGTGTGTATACATAAATTTACCTGAGTCTGAATGTGTGGATGATTCCGATGTCAAAAAATAAACGATTTCATAGTGATACAAGAATTTCATGTAACGTTTCCTTAATGCATAGGAAGCACTTGTTGTCGTTGTGGAGAACCCGAAACTTTCACTCACTTCCCTCCATTTTTTTAATCTTACAACCTATACACAACTTGAAACAAAAGTGATGAGTAAGTTATACATACTAGTAAATATGTAAAAACTATCAAACTTTATACGAAATTGCGACCTCTCCTTATTAAATACAAAAAAATGACAGCAAACTTAATTGGTCTATATATATTATCTTATGTGAAACTTTTTCGCAATGTTCAAACCTTTTCTTGATGATTATCAGATTTTTACTACCAAATTAGATATTAAACCAAAGTTGTAAGTTGTCATGTTTAAAGAAGCAAAACAAAAGTTGCACCTTGTCAAAACCACCCCTCTTGGTTACCTCTATGTACAAGACATGCAAATTCAGCTCCTTTCCTCCTATCACTGGAACCCTATATATGATTTTAAATTGAAACATAAGTACTCATTAATATCGCAAAATTCTAAATTTAATTACTTGTAAACTCGATTCTTAAAGATATATAATAATCGAAGTTTTCAAATTAAGTGATTTTAAAAAGTTAATATCGAAATGATCAGTCACGTAAAATTGATAACAAACAATAAAATAATAATATAGAAAAGAGGAAAGAGTGTTACATAAGTGGGGTGCCCATGAAGCGGTGAAAGCTCCGGAGGGTTTCCCAGAAGAGAGAAAAGTCTTTAACGACGTCGTCATGGGATGCCAGGGCCGCCGGATAAGACTCACCATCACTGCCAATTCTACCCGCTGGCAACATTTTCCGACCGACGACATCAAAAGGTCACCGGCTCATGTACACACACTAAACTCACACACATGTGAAAGAAGAGATAAGTGTTTATAGCTACATATTTCGGATTTTTCTGGTAGCAATTAATAAGACCAGCTTTTGTTTTATGTAACTTTTTTTTCAGTGGAATAATAATAAAAAAAATTATCTTGTTTATATTGGGATAAAACTTTAATCTTTAATTCTATTCTTTTAATACTTGTTTAATCTATTTTTACTCATGAATATTTGAAGTGTGGATAATTTATATTTATTACATGATGTTCCATTATAGCTAGCAGGGTGTTCTTTTGGATGGATCGGTTCGATCCAATCCAATTAAATGAATCCATATTTATTTTGATTTTCAAAAAATAGATCTAAATAATTCAAACAAAATTCAAATTCGATTCGATCCATCCAAATTATAATTTGGTTGGACATGCTTTTATAATTTGGTTTTTAAAAACCAGAATATTTTAAAGCCATATATATAATTATAACTTTATCCAACTTTATAGAAAAAAACAAAAACAAACTATTTAATATTGGTTTGAAATTAATAAGCAACTATTACAAGAATATCTTATAGTTTCATATTTTATAGATAAAAAATTTATAAAGAATATGTATTTTAAGGTTTTTTAGCAGGTGAAACTTTTCAAATTGATTTGTGAAAATACATCACTACATTAATAAATAATTATAGATATATACTAAAAATTAATAAATAATATATTATTATTCGGTTACTTTGAACAATTTGGTTCTTATTATTTAAATCAAAATCAATCTAAAATCAAAAATAATAATTTGGTTTTGTTAAAAATCAATCTAAAATTCTGAATATCCAAACCAAATAAACTAATCAAAATTGAACAAATTATCCAATTTGGTTTTATCCAAATAATGAACAGACTTAATTATAGTTTATGTTTTGCTGGAAAATATCAAATGTTCAATAAGTTTGTTAAAAAAATATATCAAATTTGCAAAGGAAATATATGTTTGAATATGTATATATTTGTCTAGCTAGCAATAATAACAAAAACAGAAACTACTCTCTCTCTCTCTCTCTCTCTCTCTATATATATATATATATATATATATATATATATATATATATATATATATATATATATATATATATATCTTTACTATCTTATAAAAGAAATCTAACTATTTCTAAAAATAAATTGATTGTAATAATATTATTTTTTTAAGACGTCCAAATGATGAAGCTGATAGTACAAGTAACCATTAATAAAATAATATTAAATTTTAACCACATTTTGAATTCAAATATTTATCATCAAATCTCCTTATATTTCTCAACAATTTGATATGGTTCCCTCAGATCCCGGATTCATTCAAATTTTGAACCCTTTTAGATATCCTTAAATTTAGCATGTTGATTCAAATATCCCTCCAATCGCATATACCTCTTTGTTCCCTCCTCTGCTATAAAGCCCACCGTCCAGGAACAAAAAATGACTTCATCTCCCAAATAACACCATAGTTTGATTATTTTGTCTTCGACATGTACTTTCTTTTGTAAAATAACATTTTTGTAGAGGAAACATATCACCGAAAGAATTTACACGCCCGCCGCTTTGCGCGGGTACACTGCTAGTATATATATATATATATATATATATATATATATATATATATATATATATATATATATATATATATATATATATATATATATATATATATATATATATATATATAGGGAAAGAATCAAATGAGAACACCTAAAAGATTGAGAACACGAGAACAATTCTGGACCAATCCATATATAAGGACTTATTAGTAATTGTATATTTTAATTAAATTAAAATAAAATAAATTCAGTCAAATTCCCTTAAATTTAGGATCAGTTACCAAAAAAGAAATAAATATTCGATTTTTATTTTTTCTTATTAATGGAATATAAATCTATTTTTACGAAAAAAAATTAAAAACTAAAAAAAGAATTAATTTTTTTTCTTAAAAAAATAATTTTTTTTTCTGTTATTTTACATTTTTTCCTTCAATCGTAAGTGAATAAAAAACTAAACCATCAATCATAAATGATTATATTGTAACCTGGACTTTGTATATTTATATTGACACAATTGTACTGAATGATTAAAATCACTTTGAGACATTATTCATATATGAATGCACATTTTCATTCATAAATATAAGATATTATAGTTTTTTAATGAATACAAATATCATCCTAATTGAATAAATAGCATTATAAAAAAATCAATACATTTGTAATCTTAAATGACTAGAACACAAATTAGAGATGAAACATCAACAAAACACATTTGCAATCATATATGAATACAATTGTAATCACAAATGAAAAACTACAATGTCTTAATATAAATAAATGTCAGCTCCTTTCAAGTTGTTGTCCATGTGCATTCATCATTCATCCTTATAATAATTTAGCCCATCCGTATTAACTCGGTCAATCTACAAGAAATCAAAGAAATTTTTTGTATTATTTGTCCACAAAAAGTGCTTAACTCATTAACCAATTTGTTTTCTAAATTGCATTAATAAATCAAAATGTAATAAAGAGAAGGGTTTTCTCATCCTTCACCTTAAGTTCATTGTGCTTCCATTGACCATGAACACTGTCGTACTTGAACATGTATGTCTGCAAGTAAAACAAATGGATCGTTTATTATATATAAATCACATGATTGTAAAACAGATTGAATCCTATATAAATCCATACATCTACATTCGAACAAGGTAAAGAGATCTTATAGTACACTGTGATAAATGAATTTTTGATCCACTGATAGAATAATCATTTGTTTCATTCGAGTAACTTTTTGTCATAAAAGGGAAAGAGATGATAGAGATTGTGACAAATACGCCGAGACATACTGAGATCACGCACTCTATAAACCCAGACATTGATAGTGTGTTCATACAAACTAAATAGCGTTCTACTACATGATCCTAAGCATCACTTAGAATATTCCTGTTTGCAGCTTATTTAAGATCTATAATATTGAAGTGTTTATTAGATAAAACCAATCAGTAGCATTCGTTTATAGATCGAATTGTATTTAACACTAAAGTGGCAAACCAAAACAAGAAGTGTACCATGTAATCAGTGGAGATGAAAGGATCGTTAACAGCAACAAGCTCAACATCATCTCTCTGAAGAGCAACTCTAGCAACTAGACGACCGATTCTTCCAAATCTTGTATAATATCAGTCGGATCCAGTGAATTGATAAGAAAAAAACCAAAAGGATCTCAAAAAATAGATCAAACTACAATAAATAAACAAAAAATGTACCGTTGATTCTGATCCTAATCATAGATTGATTATTTGACTGTTTTACCTCGATAGCCCTACCTCGATCGCAAGTGGGCTTTTCAAACTGTGATTGGTCGCTTGCAGCAGCAGTCGCACAAAGAGACTGCAGGAATCAAGGTGATTGACAATTTTGAACAATAGATGCCCTGAAAATCGATTCTAATGCAAACAAAGATCATGGGGTTTATCGTTTTGATTAGGAATAAGATGCAAACCTGATTTCCCTTTGTATGTATTGTTGATTTCGGATTTGCAAAGGCTTTTATTTTGTTATTTGAACATTGATTGATTTCTCATCTTGAATCGAAGATGATGATGGAGGTTGGTGGTTAAACTCGATGCAAGCGATGGTGGTGGATCAATGATATAGGGCTGTGTAAAATGGTGGCGTAGGGATGGGATGATGATAATGGAAAGATTGTGCTCTGCTGAAGATGGAGACGGTGGAGGCATACCTAGGTTTACAAGGTTTACAGAGAGATGAAGAGAGAGACGGGAAATGGAAGGAAATAGGTGAGTGATTGAGAAATTATAGGAATTAACTAATGGTGGAAAATGCCCAATTACTATAGTACCCTTCTCACCATTTGAAGTTACACTTTAATACCTGTAACTTTTAAAATTTTACATAAATTGCTTGTTTGATAATAACCTTAGATTTTATTATCTAAATGGACCAGATGTGTTCTCGCGTTCTCAATCTTTTAGGTGTTCTCATTTGATCCTACTCATATATATATATATATATATATATATATATATATATATATATATATATATATATATAATTGCTCACTTATATAGTTATACAATACTAGCATTTGTGGAATTTCTGTAAACATAGTGGTTTGAAAAAAAAAAAAAAAAAAAAAAAAAAAAAAAAAAGGAAAAAGTCGTATGAATTTATCTTTTGATTTTTGTATGATATTTTTGAAAATTGAATTTACTTAGCCTTTGAAATATGAGCTTCATTGAGTGGCTTAAACTTTTAATGAGATTATCATTATCTCATATGGATGTTCGGTCCTAAATTGTAAATATCATAGCCTATTCAGCATTTTCGATCTCAAATATATATTATCAAGAGTATAAAAGATCTGTTTTATATTATATGGTTTCTTTGTTAGACACGACTAAAAAAATATATCTTGATAATTGACACAAGCGATAAATTCCAAGCCGTTGAATTAGCCTTTTGTATATTTGATGTTTATAATTAAACCGATGAACATGTACCATTCATAAATAATCTCTTTAAGTTTGTTACGAGTTTGTTTCTCATCAACTCAACTGAATGGACTGACATCAACATTAAACATAGAACACGATGCAATTTTCTCTTTCCTTACATTCGATTATAACTTCATATGTCACACACAAGCAATTTATAGTCGAAGTAAGAAAGAAATAACAATATTTCATTACCAAAAACTCTCATAACTTTATATATCATACAAAAAGCCAACCAAGCTTAGAAAAATGTTCACCAACATTTGTCTTGTCACTTTCCTCGTTAAACCAATCACACTTGCTACAAAAGAAAACACAAATCCTCGTCAGGATAACAAAGACATTCACGTCTTTTACACAACAACAGATTAAAAGCAATCTCATGTCCCACCTTTTTTTTGGATAGGACCAAAGATTGCAACTTTTGTCCCATTGGCATCAGTTCTAGTCCAATGGACATAAGACACAGACAAAACACAGTACAACCTGTTATGTTTATGTTTTATAGAGCTTACGTGATTAATGTAGACTTGGAGTAATCCAAATTGGAGGAGGCATCGACGTCCATTGGACAACTTTTCATAACCCGGTAAACCTACCACACTACCATTTTCCAAGTCATAAATACCCAAATCATGATCCCCATTAGCACCATCATAATTCCACTCAGAATAATCATCTGTGAAATATATACAATTCCCATTACAACCATGGAAATCAGAAGCACGAAACGCCATGGAAGAATTCTCCCCCAAAAACAACGCACACCCATCCAATCCACTCAGACTCTCCCATTTTGGCCCATTTAAAATCAACTTAAACACTCGAAAGTCGGTAGTTTTATACACAATATCAACTTTATGTTGATCCATGTTAAATTCAACCTCCATATATCGAGTCACCAACAATAATTCATCTTTCCATATCACCAAATATTGCATATCACCTCCAACTTGTCTTGGGGTTTCGATAAAGGAAACATTTGGTGATGATCCAGTAATGTCGCATATAGCAACTGTTCCATGTTTACTCACAGCGTAGAAACACTCTTTGTGAAAAACAACGTCCTCACAGAAAGAATTTGCATCGTCTATGAATTTCCAACAGTTGTCGCCTTTCTTGCAAAATGCAAGATCACCGGTTTGATTTAGAATTGCCACCGCATAGTAATCGGTGTTTTCATTTGAAGGGCTTGAAGAAAAGATCACCTTTTTGATGAAAGAATCACGCATTTCTTTTGAATTACATGTATATACTTCCCCTTCTGATGTTTTGAGAGTGTATTCTTTCCCAATTTCAGATGGCTCGAAGGATGTTACGTTTGGAAACGATGATAATGGTGGGAGGTGGTGTCTGGCCTGGGTTAATGGGTTTACGATTGAAATTGAAGGGGTTTCTTCCAGAATCACAAGCCATCCATATGAAGATCCACATCGACGATTGCTATCAGAATCTTCAGGCAGATCAATAAGGTGAACTTTATCATCCGAGACGTTCAAAAAGCTTCGGGTATTTGATTGTGGATTCTGATTTGTTCTTCGAGGGAGCATTAACCAGGGCAGTTGACATGGTAAATGTTTAGGGATTCTTGGTGTCGCGCTTCGCCAAGCTAAACAAACAGCTCTAAATCGAACATAATCCTGATGAATCTTTAGCTCCTTCGCAATTGTTTCAAGCAATTCCGGAGGTTGATCCGACCAATCCACCGAAATCGACATTTTTTTTTCCCGTTAAACCCTGCTTTTTTTTTTCCACGAATTGGGCGGAACTCAAATTCTAAACCCAAATCAAAATCAGATTTTGACCAACTATACGAATTCGAAAAATAAAAAAGGAAGAATCGGAACTAGTTTATGGGATTCCAATGCAGATTGTGCGTACCTGATAAGATCCCGCAAAGAAGGAAGAAGAACGAAGAGTCTGAACAAGAATCAGGGGGGTGAACCTACGAAAAGGCGCCCCACTGATCCGATCTTGTTTCTTGTCTCTTGTAATCTTCCCTGAGGAATGAAGGGGAAGTTGTTGTGCACTTATTAGATGAGGGAGGAGGAGGATCGCCATTTTAGGCCAAAATATACCTCCATCCATACATTCGGAATCCTCCCATTAATAGCATGGCAGATTATTAAATTTATACGAATTATATTTGGAATCAATTGTTTATATTATTCAGAAACATATTGTCAGAAATCAATATTTAAAAAGTTTATAATCTTTGGTATCGAATCCAATTATCCGATTAATCTTTATATTATACTTTAGCTCGAATATTCATGTCTCATTTCCTACATAGACTGTGTTGATTATAAATGCATTGCTTTCGTGTTTCCAATGATAAGATTTAGGTTGATTACTTGGTTGCATGAAACTTTTGCCAAGGCCCAGCCCATCGACAATCTATCGGCTTATTTAAGGATAAGAGATGCGCAACTGGCAGTGGGCTTATCCATTGTCTAAATATAAGGTTGTATATTTTTGGTTGGACACGCACATACGACGTTACAGCAAAAACATTTTCTTATTTTGAGGGTTTATGTGTTATTAAAAAAAACAAATACATCAAAATTTATCATATATATATATATATTATATATATATATATATATATATATATATATAACCATTATTAACAATAACCGATGAATCGATCAGTATAAGGTTGTACCGATGGCAGTGTCACTCCATGTTACAAGATGGTAGCGTCCCTGAGGATCCATATGCTTTTGTTTTTGCTGGCATCCGTAAAAAACATTGTGTAGTGAAGTTCAATGACATATGCAAATATTGTGGAGCAAAACAATTGTTGTTTCAATCTCCTAGCTTTTGTTGCAGGAATGGGAAGACAAGGTTGGCAGACTCCTGTATTCCTAAGGAATTACACGATCTTTTCACCACAGAAACCAAATTAGGCAAATTGCCTAGAAAAAAAGATATATGCGTACAACACCAACTTTTCATTTGCATCCATGGGTGTAGATGTGGATGAATCAATTGCTAACATAACATGTGGGGTATACACTTTTTGTGTGAATGGATGAATATATCATAGAATCAATCAGTTAGTTCCAAGGAAGAAGGATGAACCTAAGTATTTACATGTAACACTGTAGATTTTCAAATAAAATTTTTGTTTAAAATCACATTAATCTTATTAGCACAATCACAAAAATCCTCAGTTTATATCAAGTTATCAAAAACACATGTTCAAAAGTTGTTTATAACACAATCCAGGACCCTCCAAAACAAATCTCCAACCCGTGTGTGTACAATCAAGTCGATGTTTTCCCGTGATCATGAGAAGGACCTAAAACACATAACACACAACACGGTAAGCACGAAGCTCACTGACTTGTCAATGCTACGGCTCCTCGTAGGCTTATGACACTCTCTCACTTACTCGTGAATGTTACGGCTCCTCGCAGGCTTGCGACACTATTTCGCTGACTCGTGAATGTTACGGCTCCCCGTAGGCTTACGACACTCTCTCGCTAACTCGTGAATGCTACGGCTCCCCGCAGGCTTACGACACTCTCTCATTGAGCCATGGATGTTACGACTCCTCGTAGTCTTACGAAACTCTCTCACTGACTCGTGAATGCTACGGCTCCCTGCAGTTTCATAATACTCTCTCACTAGTTGCGGGCTCATCCCACGGTTCTTTCCCGACTGTCCTAGGTCATTACTCCCACCCCGATCCATTCACTCTCTTATCACCCCATAATCTCATTTAACAAGTCATCGCTACACTGAGTTTGCTAACTCATACTCTGTGGTCTAACATAGATAGGTACACAAACCTTTCCAGATTATGCATCGTTACTCTTGACAAAATTCTCGTAGACAAGACATTTTCCTCAGTACAGTTACACCCTTGGACAATCCCGTCTGATGAAAATTAGCTAAAAGGCTCCCACTAGAACAATAGTCACTCGGTACTCCACTTCCCATCTCACAAACTCAAGTTTCAAAATAATCCAAAAATTTAGGGCTTCATACTCGAATGCCTCATCACACCATCACAGAACCTCACGATGTCTTGCCTCAATCCCTGATCTTTCCACTCACAACATCATACTCGGATACCGCAATACACTCTCTCAAAATCTCACACTGTCTTGCCTCAACCACTGGTCTTCCCCCTCGCACAACTTGAAACCTTGAAATACTCCAACTCACAATTTGAAATATGGAGGAATCGTCAATGACTGAGAACATGTTGATGAAAATCCGAAACCCTACCCTTTATTGCTCAAAACCCATGCGAGAATACATATACCGACTCTAAAGTTGGTTGCTAAATCAAATGCTACCCTTCCTGGAGTGCATTTAACAACCCATACATCAAACTAGAAATTCTCAACAATCAAAACTCGACCCCAATGACCCAACTGTCTCGTACTCGAACATTGGCAAACCCCGACAACCCTTATCCATAATAGATCCCTGATCATGTAACACTCATAAAATTTACGCCAATTTAAAACATTTTATTCCATTCAAAAACCATTAAGTTATTACAACTTGTTTTCAAAATAGTTTAAACATCAGAGTATCCCCATAACTAAATCACAAAATCATGAAATATGAGGAGTAGTACGATCACGCCTTTGCCTTGCCACGATCTCCTGATGTACCTGAAACAATAAATTGTAACTGTAAGATTGAAAGCTTAGTGAGTTCCCCCAAAATACCCATACACACATAATCATACACATACAACAATGAACAACATACTATAGGTCCAATCAACCATTCGGTTGGAATACCCCTGGCCCTCAACCATTGGGTTGGATGCCAACATACTATGAGTCCAATCATCTTACCAGGATGGAATACTCTCGGCCCACAACCATCGGGTTGGAATGCCGGACACCTACACATACAACAACAACTACTATGGATCCAATCATC